CTATTTTGAAAACCTTTCCAGTCCATTCTAGCTTCTTGAATATTTCCTAAAGGCAAACTGTAAACAATTTTGCTGAGATGGCATCGCCCTGTCTAACACCTTTTTAAATTGGGATTTTATCCGTTTGCGTGTGGAGCTTGATGGTTGCTGTCCCGTCTTCGTCTATGTCTTCCAATATTCTACTCCCTGTCTTGGAATAGCTTCTAGTAATGCTGGTATTTGTACAGAGTCAAATGCCTTTTCGTAATCGATGAATCCCATAGACAGGGGTTTCCTATACCCGTTTATTTTTTCTCTTATTTGGGTGAGCGTGTGGATGTGGTCTGTTGTTGAGAATCTATCGCGGAAGCGTGCCTGTTCTCTAGACTGGTTAGAATCTAGGCTGTCAGAGATACGAGTTGTAATGATTTTAGTGAAAAGTTTGTAAGTAACGGAAAGGAGGCTTATGGGTTGGTAGCCTTTTTTTTTTATCTTTTCTGTCCCCATTTTTGTGTATCATTTTTCCAGGCTTTCCGAGTTTGTTTTTTTTTACATTGAGAAGGCATTTGTTAAAAAAAATGGCTAGTTTCACTGTCGTAATTTCTCCTGCATCTATTATAAGGTCTAGACTAATACCGTCTTCACCTGGTGTTTTCCTTCTCTTAATGCCTTTAAGCGGTCTCTTTATTTCTTCTGCTATGATGTTAAGTACTTCTCTAGTTACCGCGTTCGCTTCTATTCGTGGCTGTTCATTTGCGTTGTATAGATCCGTGTAAAAGTTTTCCACTACTCTTATGATTTCATTCTTATTATATGTCACTTCTCTGTCTGGTTTCTTTATTGCATATATTTGATTTCTCCCTATTCAAAGTTTCCTTTTAGCTGTTTTCATGCTGTTACCTGAGATCAGTTTCATTTATTATTATTATTATTATTATTATTATTATTATTATTATTATTATCATTATATATATATATATATATATATATATATATATATATATATATATATATATATATATATATGTATATATATATATATATATATATATATATATATATATATATATATATGTATATATATATATATATATATATATATATATATATATATATATATATATATATATATATATATATATTTGTGTATGTATATATGTATGCATGTATGTATGTTTATATGTATATATATACCTATATATATATGTGTATGTTCACATATTTAAATATATATAATTCAAATATATATATATATATATATATATATATATATATATATATATATATATATATATATATACATATATATATATATATATATATATATATATATATATATATATATATATATATATATATATACACATATATATATATATACGGAATCGCCCGCCACGAAGAATTGAGTGACTTCATATGTGCATCGATGCACCTTGGTTGCTATGCTGTTGCGTTTCCCATGGACATCACACTTTCATGAATTTAATTACCCCCATTATTTTGTTTTATCACTATCATCAATGTCGTTTATCAATTCGTGAGATATCGGCATATCGGAGGTGTGACTGGACCTGTGCTTTTTCTACTTTTCTTTTTACTGAAGAATGAAAAATGCGTATTTTTTAACTATTGGATTAAAAGTATTTGTTCGCACTCGCAGCACCAAATGAATTCATTAGCATAAAAGTTCGAAGTTTGCATCGTAAAATTGTTCCTCACCTGCACTATTAAGATAAAGGAACTGGTTTCATTTCCCGCGGCTACATTCGCCTACCAAGGGGATCATAAGCATGTCATTATACCCAGCAACATTGCACCACAAGTTGATTAGGATCTTGCACGGCTCGCACACGGAATTCTCTCTCTGGGGTGAAACGAGGAACAGATCCTTAAAATAGCACTTTTTCGTGAGTTCGGCGCACAGGTAGTTATCAAGCCTTGTCGTAATATACGGTTTAAAGCAGAGAAATTCTGATCATTCCGCCAGATGTCTGATCAAAGAAAGTTTCACTGTAAATCACACTAGCGTAGAAAGTTGGAATTTTCTCGTGATCAGTATTTTTTCTCAGATAAAAAAAAATATATATGTTTTCTACAAGTCTGACACTTCATTATAGTTGCTTAATCCTAACATTCTTTACATCTTTTTCATTTACGCTTAAATACCTCTGCTTTCTTGCTTCCTCCTGATTGTCATTCTGTATTTCTCTCTTCTCAGATCTATAAGTCCTTTTGTCTTGCAGTCTTAATGGTTCTTGTTACCCTAATTAGCAAGTCACAGAGGCCTGTCTGCCTCCATCCACCATGTCATTTTTATTATAAATTTCAGCTGCAGTCCGACTCCCTTCCCTCCGTTTCCGCAAGCACTCCCAGGTTTTATAGATCAAAGCAAACAGTATTCTTTACTGATCTCACATGACAGATATATGACTTCACAAACAGGTCTTCACCGCAAACAAGCTCTTGCAGGATCAGTGTCTTTTCCGAGAGGATTTACTTATATATGATACGGCATGTATGC